AAGTTTATCATCATTCCATCTATTGGCAATGGTGTTGTGTTCAATTGTTTCCTTGGCAACTCCATTTGAGATCTGTTCCTGGTCCATTTCATCAACATTCTCCATGTCCATGTATTCCTGCAATGGTTCCTTTTCCCTCTCATCAAAAAAATTCTCATCTGTGTATCTTAGATTGTCAAAGTCTTCCTCATTTGCTAACACTGGTGGTGACTGTGCAGTCACTGGTCACCACTCCATCCTGTCGGACCAGCACTTGGTCTCCATGAACCTTGCTGAATTACTCCAGAATATGTTTGGGCTGTAGAAAAGCCAACCTCTCCTCTCTAAACTATATCCTAGGAATATGGATGCTATGGCCCATTGGTCGAGCTTCTTATTATCTCTTTTAGCTTTAGGAATGTTTACCCATGATAAACATCCAAACACATGTAGAAGTTTCATAAGCCATTTTGGCAATCTTCCAAACATAGCCTGATATGGGAGATCACCATCTACACTTGGGGTGAGATTCATCTTGAATGCCATGGCCCATATTGCATATGGCCAGAACCTTTTCAGCAATCATCTCTGCATGAGTAGAGCCTGCATTCTCTCACCTAGACTCCTATTCATCCTTTCAACATGTCTGTTCTGTCTGCTATCATAACCTACTGTCATTTGCCACTCTATACCTTTGTCATGTGCCCATTCATGGGCATTGTTACTCCTCCATTCAGTACCTTGATCAGACCATATTGCTTTTAGGCTCTTTCCTGTCTGTGTTTCAAGGTATGCTACTATTGATTTTAGCTCCTTAAAAGCATGGTGTCATGGGCCTGGATGCTCAAGAAGCAGGAGGGTCACTGGTTCATATGGAAGGAGCACAGGTATCGAAGAGCTAGTCGATACCAGTAGAGAGCATGGTCGTAGTGCAGTCTCCATGGAGACCATGGACTCCTATGGACTCACATGCAAAGGAGCACTGAGCCATATGCGAGGAAGGCCAGGCACAGCCATGAGGAGGACCAAGCTCACGGAGCAGGCACAGCCACGAAGGGGACCAAGCTCAAGGAGCATGCAGATGGTTACCACTCAGGGGCTCGAGAGACAAGAGTCAAAGGAACTGTCACCGGTCAAAGGAGAAGGAGCAGTGTATAGGACACTAGCAGGCAGGTCCTGAGGAAGAGGAGCAGTGTCGAAGGAGTCGACACCAGGTCCTGAGGAGGAGGAGCAGTGTCGAAGGAGTCGACACCACTCAAGAGGCACAGGGGTGCCAAGCAGGAGAGGCCCCTGAGCAGTACTCGATGAAGAAGGTACTCTCTGGAGAGAGAGCAGGAGCAGCATTGCTGGCGATGCTGTGAAGAGGTATATAACCATGCTTTCTCATCATCATAGGTCGAGTGGATCCTCATCCACTCTACTCACCATAACTAGTTATCACTTCAGCATAAGTATATATTAGTTTCAGTCAGCATAGCAGCAATCTATCAAGGTTGCTCCTCATCGTAGTGTGTGTGTTGTATCACCACTACCTGACATCCAAAGGCGCCCATAGCAGGTTAGCAGTCTGGATCAAGATAGAACTGAAGGCAGTAGTCCACTGTGGTCTGGGGATCACTTCAAGCATCAAGTCAACACACTGGACACTCGTGTTGACGCCACCAACCTATCACCAACACCATCAACCTCATTATCATCAACACCCACCAACCTTATCACCAACGTCATCAACCTCATCATCATCAACACTCACACCAGACCTTGGTGTCATCATAGCATTGATATTGATCGTGCTGAGCTACCCCTGAACGGAGTGTCCACAGAGGTCAGCTGAAACCTATGATAGTATATACAATGAATGCCACCTGCTGTCACTGTGCAACTTGATAGTCACTGAGCGATGTAGCTCATCGAGACCGATACCAAGACCATAGCTGTCGCACAGTTTGATAGTCACCGAGTATCTCGACAGACCGACCTGGGTTTCAGGCGCGAGACCCCTGACACATGGCTCTTCCATAGTAGAGGTTGTATGTATACATACTTGCTGTAATCATCAACCAACACCAGAGTGCATGTATGCTCTGTTGCATGTGATGAATCGACTATCAAGTCAATGTGGATGAGATCAAGTGGAGAATGAGACCTCTCTCTGCCACCCTGACCCATCTGAGCTGCTGTACTTTTGGATCAGATGCATTGCTCACATGTCAAAGTGGCATTTGGGTTCAGGCTTACTGGGTGATCACCTTTTAGGTGATTAATGATGGCTCTTGTTTTGTCTCGGCCTGGATGCCCTAGATGCTCATGCCATAATTGTTGTTTGGATATCTGGGGTTTGTTCTCAATATGCTCAAAATCATCATCAACACCTTCAAATAATGATGTTGATGTGATCATTGCATTTTCCTGCCATGTATCACCTCAGAACTCCAGAAGTCCTTGCTCATGATTCTTGATCATTTTGAGTAACATGCCATTTGCTAGATATATTTGTCCTCCGGTTGAGTCTAGTGTCACTCGCGCTCCTTCATCTGTCAGGGAATTTGTTGACAATAGGTTAACATTGAGATGCTGGACATACAATACATTTTGAAGAAAGATATCTCCAGTGTTTGTTGATATGCTAGCATCTCCTATAGCAGTGGCTTCTAGAACCTCGCTTCCGGCAGTGAGTACACGCTTTTGGCAGGTTTTCAGACCAATGAGCATGCTATAGTCATTTACCATGTGGTAGCTGGTGCCCAAGTCTAAGATCCAATGAGAGGTCTCTTTTGAATCTATGGGCCTCTGCCAGCTAGGTGTGAAGGAACACCAGACTTCCTATTTGGGCCTGGCAAGGGGAGAATTCTCTGGTATAGTCACCAATGCATCACATTGACTGATCCCATGTCCAGGCCTCTTGCAGATCCAACATCGGAGCCTTTGGGGTCTTGTGGCAACCTTGGTGCTGGTGCTGTCAGTGTCCTTTTTGTCCTTCTCATCCTTTCCAGGTGGTTTGTCCTGGTCATTGCTGCTGGCAACTCTGGCACTGGCTTGTTGGGGATCAACCCTCAGTGCAGGGTTGTTCTTGATCACTGATTGCTGGATGGATAGAGCAGTGGCAAGGGTGCTAAAACTGAGCTGGCTCATGGTGGCAATGGTCTCTTTGTACATTGGGTGTCAGATAGTACACTTTTGTAGATTAGAAAATAGAGTGTCATTGGCAAATGGCTTTCCCAGTAAGCTACTCTCTGTTTGGATGGTCCTTATTTCTTGGATGAGCTTTCATGCATCTGAATTGTACATCCTGAGCTCTCCTAGCTGAGTGATTAGTGCAATGCAATGAGATATGGCAGTAGCCTCATTGGTGAGTCCATTTTCAATCTTCTTCCATACATTATGGAATGTATGGTGCTCCCTGATGATGTCAAGGATCAAGTAATTGATATTGAACTCTCCGGTGGTGTCGATGGTACTGCATAGTGCATTTGTTAAGGCATCATCAAACGTTTGGTTCCACTTGGGATGTTTCTTGTCACACACTCCATTGAGGTGCTTCATAGCATAGGGAACACATCATAGGAAAGACTTGATATGGGTGCTCCAACTATAATAGTTGTGCAATGTGAGTTTTGGGATGGGCTCAAGTAGTTTTGCTAGGGTACAAAAATTGTATTGCTTTCCATTGTTGTTGTGATCTGAGTCAGAGTCAGTTTCTTCCTCAGCATTGTCATTGATCACCCTGGTGTCTGACTTGTTGGTGGCCTCATTGTCAGCAGTTTGTGGTTGCATTACCTTTCCCTTTCTTCCTCCTTTGGCCTTGCTTGTGATAGCTTGAGCTTCAGCCTCTTGTACCATGTTGTCAATGATCCCAGTTGGCTTAGTCAGTAGAGCTTCAGACTCTTAATCAATTGAAGATTGCAAGTAAAATGCTGCCAATCAGAGCTACTAGCAAGCTCAACTTCATGGGTGTATAACTTCTTGAAAAATGCTTATTATTTCTATTTGTGAGTGCTACAACATGAGCATGTATATATACTTGATCGTCATCCTTAACACCTGCTATGTCATAATGAACTCTTCTTTCATATGGCCCCTGTGTTGTCACTTTCTGGTCATTGCCTCTCCCTGAGTGTTATGGTTGTATTGTTTATACATCCCACATGCATGTTGATGCATGTTGATATGCAACTCTGACTCACCATTATCTCACTTGTGCTCCACAGACCCCGTGGTTCATGTTAGGATGCCGACGCATCTTCAACTCCGTTCTAGGCGATCAAGACCTCCTCATGAAGACTGTGAAGCTATATATACTCATGTTTGTAGTCCTAACTCACTCGAATTATACAAGGTCCTCAGTTACCATACACCTGTCTGAAGGGAGCTTGATCGTAGCCCCATCGAAGTGGTGTCGACACTTTAATTAAATAACCACACATTCCCTTTGTCATAGTCGTCGAGTGGATCCTCATCTACTCTAAACTTAACTATCTATATCTTATCTTATCATATATTTAGTTGTTCCGTCAACAGTTGCAATTGCAGGCCAGTGCTTCTATCATAGCGCGTGTGTCGTATCACCGCTACTTGACGTCATCCGTAGGCAGTACCTTACTGCGGTCCGGATATTGATCAATACCAAAGGTGGTCTCATACTGCAGTCTGGATCTGTCGACCTCATACCAAAGGCAGTTGTCCACTGCGGTCTGGTTCTGCCTCAAGGAAATGGGTAGAGGAGACTTGGAAAGAAACGGGCTGCTCATACCTCCCTGGACGGACCTTGGTTTTTTCCTCCGCCCTTACCCCCTCATAACATGTATATAGTCCCGCTCTTGGTCCGAAATATACAATGACTGTTTTGGTATGGTGTTGTGATTTTCATCTGGGTATCAAGAATGTAAAGGACGGGTGTGTATGTAGAATAAATGGAGCACAAAAGGGCTGTGACAATGGGTTTCGATCCGATTGATCTCAGGTCTTGAACGGGAAGTCCCTTGTCAAGCTCCTCGTATCGCGATTTGACTATGATTCAAACTCTACTTGTCGGCATCTGTGTCGATATATGGAAGTGTGACTGTAGTCGCGAGCGGGCTTCGACCTCTTTCGCTAGCAGCTGGGCTCACACCTTGTGAGTTAGGATCCTGATCATTGGCATTAGGCTGCGAGTCAGGGGAGGTGGCACCTAGCAAGCTGAACCTGCGGAATGCACGCTTCCAACCTTGATCCTGACTGGTTTGAGATGTGGTTGGTGAACGGAAAGCTTGCCGGTCCTCGTCACCGGTGGTCTCGTGTGGCAATGGTGGTAGGGTGCCGCCATAGCCAGCTAATGGCGAGTCGATTCGGTTGGTTTCGCCGTTGAGCAGAGCGCTTTTGGTCGACGGGGCTGGCAAAGAATAGCTTTCGTCACCCGCAATCGAGCTTTCCATGATGGAACTGTCTGCAAGACTGTTGATGCCGCTGGTAGCGCGACTGTTGGATGTGCTGCTTTGGGAAGATGATGGGAATGGGTATCCTGAACTGGTGTCCGCTGTGAGATCTAAAGTTTGTTGGTGTCGCTCGGCTCGAAGCTGTCTCGCTTTGGAGGCAACACCTTGACTGCCTCTCAATTTGGTAAAGCTCGACCCACCACCTGCGGAAAGCTGAAGAGCACGACTTCGCTCCTCGTCACGGTTGCCGCTTTCAGTGGCAGGAGTCGAGGATGTGGTCCGCTCAAAGTCAGTGTCCAGAGATTGTACTGGCGTGTTGGATGCCTGCGATTGCGAGTCGGATCGAGTAGGGCTAAGAACATGGTTGGAGGCTGCACCACCGACGACGCGAGAGAAGAAGGCAGCGAAGCCTCCAGCGCCCGAAACGGCCGAGACACTTTGAGGGCGTTTCTTTCTCGGACTGTTTGGACTCTGGACGAGCTGGTGTTTGGGTGGCTGAATGCCACGCATCAACAGTTCTTGGCGAATACGTTCACGTTCAAGAATGTCGTTTTCATCCTCGATCTCTTCACTTGTCCGCAACTTCCTAGCTGAACCTTCTCGAGGAGGGATGAGCAGACTATCCGACTGCAACGTCAAAGGGCGCAGGTTGGAGCTTTGTTCAGGTGGGTTGCTTGCGTTACCACCGCCTCCGAGGAAGGGCAGGTTGCGCCAATCAATCGACGATGTTCGCTTGCTTTTGGACGAAACTGCAGCACGAGCCCCACTAGACGCCGCGCTGTTTTGATTGGCGCTTGAGCCAAAGTTAAAGAGGCCGCCCGTCTGGCTGGAGCCACTGGCATTGGAGGTGTTGCTAGTGTTCGAGACAGTGCGCAAGCCAGCTTTGTTGTCGGTGCCGACTTCCTTCGACTGGTCAAGTCTGGCTCTTGAGGCTTTATGACGCGGTCCCCGAATGGTACCACGGCTCTCAACAGCGAGGATGTTCTCGTAGCCTTCACGGGCAATGATGCGATCGATGATCTTGGAGATGTAGAGGGTCAGAGCCTGATTTGCTTCACGAAGCTCGCGAACCTCTTTCTGAAGCTCTTCGAGATCATCAGAGACGACACCTAAGCGCTGACTTGAGCGCGTTTCACGGCTCGACTTGTCAGCTGGGCTGGTGAGCACGCCTGTTGTTGTGCCTTCGAGCTCAGAGGCAAGGTCAGTAGTCGCCTGCTGTGCCGCGCTGGAACTGGTTCGCCTTCTTTGTGAGCTCTTGACTTGTTTCGGAGGAGCCTTTGGAGTATCAGGCACATCATCGACATCGTCCTCGTCTTCCTCAGGGATGGTACCAGAAGAAATGGAAGTGCCACGAGATTTGTCTCGATCATCGGCTTCGTCGTCGTCGTCGTCGTCGTCGTCGCCAACATCTTGCATATCAGTTCCAGTACTGTAATCGTCGTCGTAGGGATCATCGAGACCGCCCTGAGTTCTAAGACGGCCAAGGGAAGCACGTCGGATACCACGGAGCATGGCGCTTTCGTTGAGGAGCGCACCGCTGAATGTCTTTTCTTGAAGGATATCCATAAAAGTCTCGTTCTGGTCGCGGAGAGTGACGTTCTCTGCACGAACATCTTTGAGCTCGGTCTGGAGAGTGGCCATGGTCTCGGAAAGGGAAGAATGAGATTTTTGAAGTGTGGAAAGCTCTTCGACCAGTGCAGCCATATCGGTCTCCTCGGCGAAAGTTGATACCTTGGAGGCGTTCTTGCGAACCCGACGTGGCGGACTGCGGTCGCCATGATCCGACGCTCCTTTCCCGTTATGATGAGATTCAGTGGTTTGCGAGTCCAAGGAAGCATCTGATGCGCCGGTGAAGTGCAGGCTCGGTGGGTCGAGGGATGACGCTGCATCCTGAGTGTCTCCCCCATTGGACTTGATAGAAGCGAGACGGTTGGTGAGGCGTTCGTGTTCGCGGAGCAATTCGTTGTGACCCGAAAGAAGCTTCTCGTAAGCAGAAGCTTGCGTGGCTTTCTGAGATTTGAGAAGAGCTTCAGTGTCCTGATAGTATTGGCGTTCCTTATCCATAGTAGCCGTTTGATCGAGATAGCGTTTTTCGGCATCGTTGCGACTTCTTTCTGTTTCAGAGAGCTGCTTCCGAAGGCGCTCGATGACTTGCATTGTCGAATAAACCTCGCCTTCCATACGTTCCTGCTCTGACATGAGCTCATCGATCCTCTCTTCTCGCTGCTTGACGATCGAATGAAGCGAATAGACTCGAGATTCGGCTTCTCCGAGTTGCTGAGTGAGCGAAGCGGCAGTGTCGTGCAATGTCTCGTTCTCGAGCACCTGTTGAGCGAGTTGAGCTTCGATTTCGTCCATTTGAACTTTAGCTCGACCCAACGCCACAACGAGGTCAACTCGATCGAGACCTTGCAGCGCCTCTTCGATCTCTTCTTTCGGGATTTCCGACGCCATCGTATTGGGTCGGCTGCTCCGAATTGAAGCGCCAGAGACTGCTCTTTGTACCGTCATTCTGACTGGCGATGCGGTGCCTCTTGCTTCAAGATCGGCACGCTCTTCGTCATGGCTTTTCGCTGTGGCTTGCGAATCGTGGCAAGTTTCGAGTTGACTATCATCGATCGGATCAATGCCGACACTCCCCTGATTGGTGTCGGAAGTCTCTGTTGTGAGGTTGGATGATTTGGCGACCGAGCTTACTGTTCTGTTGCTGCGCTTCTTAGGTGGGAGAGGGCGAGAAGCTCCTAGTTTGGTTGAAAGATTCTGATGTGATTCAATTTCGGGTAAGAGCTGTCGTGGCTCATTGTCCGTCATGGTAGGCCATACAGACCACACTGAACAATACAGAGGGCCTGTCGGATGTGTTGGTAGAAAATGGTGAAGGGTTACTGCGCAACCACTGACACGCTGCCTTCAATAAAGTGTTGCTCTCTCCAAATCTGTCACATGCATGTGAAATTAGAACTCGCACACGTCAACTGCTGAAACACAACTGCGAAAGGGCTGAGCGCAGTTTGAATTTAAGATGATCTGTTCTTTATACGAGTCCATCACTCCTTAGTCAACACCTTGTAGCTTGAACAACTGTGCAAATTTTGCGGATATGGTCTCGACGACGTCTCAATTCCCGAGTGCACTTACAGGCTCACTGCAGCTCTATCAGAAGAAGCCCATCGCATTACCATACTTTGACACAGATCCCGATCAACCGAACTCGCTCATTTTTGTACCTGGACTTACCGACACTATCGGAACCATACCATATCTGCCAAAGCTGGCTCATTCTATCCCTCAACACGGATTTTCATTGGTCCAGCCGCAATTGACGTGCAATCTGAGCGGCTATGGACAGTGTACGCTCGAGGGAGATGCGCAGGAAATTGCCGCTTGCGTATCGCATCTTAGGAGCACGCCGAAGAAGCGGAATGGCAAAGTGGTGCTCATGGGTCACTCGACCGGATGTCAAGACTTGGTCGCCTATCTCCTTTCATCTACCCGTGCGACCAGTGCAGAGACCAGAATCGATGGCGCCATCTTGCAAGCACCCGTTTCGGATCGAGAGGTTTACGAGCAAGACAGGGGCGCCGCTTCAGATCAAGTTCGAAATGAGATGGATCGCGAGCTCCAACATGCTACACAACTCGTGCAGTCTGGGCAGGGTGCCGTACTCATGCCGCGCAAGGACTTGGAGTCCGGCTCCATGCCGACAGACCCAACAGATGCTCCAATCGATACAAATGGGATGAGCTCCGGCAATGCATCGGCAGTGCTCACGCCCGCCATGACAGCCTATCGCACTTGGTCCCTCCGAGCCAAAGGTGGCCATGACGACTTCTTCAGTTCTGACCTTGAAGATGCGCTCATCACTGCAGCCGATCCTGGTGCACGAACCATGGGCAGAGCCATTCACAATTTGAAAGCCGGTGTTGCCTTTCACACCACTCAACATCCACAAATCTTGGCCCTTATTAGTGAGAAAGAGTGAGTATGATCAGACTGGCCCTCCACTGACCTGATATCTTGCTGACATATATATCTGCTTGACTATCTTCTTCATCACCTTAACGCCATGCAGCAAGTATGTGCCGGACAAAGTAGCAGACATTCTTCTCAACCGGTGGAACAAGCTTCTTAGCGGCACAGACGCCTTTCATGCGGTGATCCTCCAGGATGCGAATCACCAAGCAGCGAGTTCGGCAGCAACCGACAACTTGGTTCGAGCGGTTGAACGATTCCTCACAGATCTCAAATAACTTGCTCGCGCACTAGTTTTCGGAGAGGAACAGAAATGTATTATCGGGTTCAACAGAGAACAAACAGACATGAGTCGCGACGCGAGCCTTGAGCAAATGAAACGATGCGATCAGAGATGAGCAGGCTTCTGGCCAACGACTCCGAAGTCGTTTATGGGGAACGCAGGCGCACCCTCCTTGACAGTGATGTCCTCAGGGAGACCCTTGCCAGCTTCGCTCCTGCCCTGCTGACCCTTGATGCGGACCACCTCCTCGACAAAGTCCTCGAAGATCCCGTTGGTGTCCTCGGGTCCACCAGCGTGCTCGGGGTGGAACTGGACTCCCCAAACCATAGCACGCTGTTCGCTCAGCTGAGTGCGGATGATGCCTTCAACCGACGAATCGTTGGCGTTGACGAACCAAGGCTGCCATCCCTCGGGCCACTTGCTCTCATCTGGAGTCAACGCGAAACCGTGGTTCTGCGAGGTGATGTAGACACGACCGCGCTTGACAAAGTTGCCGGCCGACTTGAGAGCAACCACAGGCTGGTTGTGACCACGGTTACCGAACTTCATGCGGTAGGCCTCGACACCAGCAGCAATGCCGATCACTTGGTTACCCATGCAGATGCCAAAGATAGGGCGGTCCCACTCCGAGATGGCTGCTCGAGCCATGTCGAGAGCAGGCTCAATAGAGTAAGGCGAACCAGGTCCATTGGAAAGGAAGAGTCCGTCGAAGCCGTTACGCACCTTGTTGAAGTCGTAGTTCCAGGGGAGAACAGTGATCGAGGCACCGCGACGAAGAAGCGAACGGAGAATGTTGGCCTTGCAGCCAAAGTCCATCAAGGCAACGTGGCAGCGGGCAGCCTTAGCGCCGCCAACAGGGTGAAGAACGTAGGGCTCCTTGGTAGAGACCTTGGCGATGAGGTTCTCAGCCATGGGGTCGATGTAGTCGCTATTAGCGGGAGCCTTGTCGTGGCCATCGCCGACGAGGATGGCACCAAGGGTGGATCCCTGGTCTCGAAGGAGCGATGTGATGGCACGAGTGTCGACGCCGAAGAGACCGGGAACGTTGTGACGGGCGCACCAGGTAGCAAGTGACTCCTTGGCGAGATAGTGGGAGAAGCGCTCGGCAAGGTTCGAGACGATGACACCGGCGGCCTGCACCTTGTTGGACTCGAGGAAAGCACCGACGTCAACATCGGCAGGGTGCTCGACAGGAGATTGACCACATCCGTTGTCGGGAACACCGTAGTTACCCATCAGAGGCTGTGTGAAGGTGAGGATCTGACCCTGGTAGGAAGGGTCGGTGAGTGACTCGGTGTACGAAGTGATCGAGGTGGTGAAAACGGTCTCACCAAAGACGCTGCGAGGAGCACCAAAGGAGCGACCGATGAAAGAGTGGCCAGACTTGAGGTGAAGTGTAGCAGGCTTGGACGCAGGAGCCTCAGTGTAGGTGATGGGACCAGGCGCATGCGTAGCAAGCGAGCGGAGAGCGCCCTGGCGAAGAGCGTAGCTCATCGAGGGACCAGCGGCGGCACGCTGGAGCACAGTGTTGCGGAGGGGAGCCAACATCCTGACGGCAGCTCGAGTTGCTAGATTTTTGTGATGGGGGAAACTTCAAGAAAAGGTGTTCGCTACGATTGTCGAAGTGACTCTCAAGCGTTATGAGAGGACTTGTAAACGGAATCACTGATGTAGTCGTCCCTGGTCTGCTGAACGAACATGCGCTATACAGCCCTTTGAGTTCGGGCGGTTGAACTTGCTTGAGTGTTGCTAAGAGGTAAGCGTGGTGTTGCTTGAGAAGGTAGCGAAGTGAAAGCGATGATGAAGGCGGCTTGGAATGCTATTGGAAGAGTGATGAGAGAGTTAGGAAGAAGAAATGGGGCAATCTACGTATTGAAGATAAGGACTGACCCACATGTTTAAATTTGGTGCTACAAGTGACAAGTGAAGTCGAGTCAACTCTCTTTCTTTTCTCTCTCTTCCGAGGTACGAACGCAGCGATTGATAGACAATTTGTCCATCGAATCAGATTTTGCATTTTCACGACGGCGTCTTTGGTCGAGTGTATCAGCGATTTTGAGAAGGAATCGGGAGATGACTTCGATGAACCTAACAGAAGCTGGCAAAAACTACGAGCCCAGACTCGGGAGCCATGTCCATGCGAAATGATGGAAAGGGTCTTCAATGCCATCTTCAACCCCACACACTCTCACACTCACATTTACATTTCGACAAAGCATAGGACTGCATCGCCTCGCGGTCAAGATGGCGGCCACGTCCTCGGCATATGCGGCGCCGTATAACATTGACGGGGTAGGCCCGAGTCGAACGCCGGTTGACTTCTCGGCAGCGCTATCGATATGGAAGGACATCAACCTCACCGATCTTCAGCAACAGCTCAACGATACCGCTCCGGAGCTTCTCGAAGCACAAAAGGCGGCTGTCGCCAACCGCAAGAAGCTCGCTGATCAGACAAGGGAGTTCAAGAAGCAGCCAGATACCAACAAGCTCGAAAGCTTCAAGCCATTGCTCAAAGCCTACCAGGCTGAAATCGACACACTCACCAAAAGATCCAAAGCCGCCGAGAATGCCTTTCTCAACGTTCATTCTGCCCTCACAACAGCACCGGATCCATATCCTTTTCTGGAGGTGACGCTGGACCAGGCAGCTTCGCTCAATGATCTGGAAAGCTTGAAGGAGGATAATGCGAAGCTCAGAAGGGACCTCGCCCAGCAGACTGCTGAGGCTGACGCCAACAGAGAGCGAGAAGCTGAGCACACACGTTTGCAACAACGTATTCTCTCTCTCGAAAAGGATTTTGAAACAAAGCTACAACAACAAACTGCAGCACTCGAGCTCGAACTCTCTGCAAAGTGGGACGAAAGGATACGCAACCTCAAAGAAAGAGAAGCCGATCTGACAAAGTCACTCAACTTGGCACTGGAGCAGCTCAAGGATCTCAAATCAAGGGACGAGACAGCTACAGCCAAGCTCCTCGAAAAGGGTCACGACGACGAGCAACAGGACAGCAAGAGCAACTTTGCCGAAGTCGAGCTCCTTTCTCGCGATCTGGAGCGTGCACACGCCCGTATCGAGAGCGTCGAGAGACGCAACGAGCAGCTTCGTTCCGAAATCGAGAGTGTCAAGAGCGGTCGCCAGGAGAGCAATCAACTGCAAAAGCTTCAGCTCGAAGCACAGGAGAAGGACCGCAAACTCACACAAGTCCAGACCCTTCTCGAATCGGCACGTCAGCAATCCGAAACCATCAGCAAGCAGGTCGCCTCCTCGCAAGAGGAAAAGATCAAGTTGCAATCCGAGAAGGATGCAGAGATTGAATCGCTGCGTACCAAACTTCAACAACGCAGCGATTACGCCGATATCAAGCGCGAGCTTGAGATTGTCAAAGCCGTTCGCTTCAATGCTGATGACGACGACGATGATGATGAACTATCTGCCACCTCGTCGGCCACTGCAAACGGCGACTCACCATCAACGAAGAAGGCGGCAGAGGCAAAAAGCCTGGAGGTGTTACTGCTCGAGAAGAACAAGCGTCTCGAAGATCAACTTGCTACATTAAGGGTTTCGAACGGCGATCTCTCAGCCTCCCTTGACAAAGTTTCAGCAGAGCTCGCCTCTTTGAAGCAGAAGCACACACATCTCAAGTTGCTCAATGAGAAACTCGAAACTGACCTGGCTTCCATCGGTCGCGAAGGGCGCTCCAACACAAAGACATCAGCAGCCATGAGTGCCGAGGAGGTGATGAGAGAGATGGAGTCGCTCGAAGCTGAAGCAACGCAAATAAGCCAAAGCACAAAAGCGCGAAACAGCAACACGGGGGCGCAGAAGGACGGACTGAATGGAGTTCATCCGGCAAGATCAGTCCCGACGCCAGCTTCACCAAGACCTTCTACATCCTCACGTGCTGCTGCTACTGGCGAGAGCAGCATTCTTCCCATCGTCACCTCACAGAGAGACCGCTTCCGCAATCGCAACGCTGAGCTCGAAGAAGAGCTACGCAAGCAATTTGAAACCATCAGCGAGCTTCGCACCGAGATCAAAACTCTTCAATCAGACAACTTGGGTCTATACGAAAAGGTTCGCTATCTGCAGAGCTATGGTCCCGCGGGTGCCCGTCGAACAGGCAGCGGCGGAGATTCGGTAATTCAGATTGGCGTTGGCGCAGCGGGACGCACGGATGCGTCAGGTGCCTATCCGCCACCTAGGATGGGTGGCAGCGATGATAAGTATCGCGCTAAGTATGAAGAGTCCATGAACCCCTTTGAAGCCTTCCGTGGCAGAGAGCAGTCCAGAGCAATGGCTCAGCTCAATCCGCTTGAACGCGCTTTACACATCCTCACTCGTCTTGTCCTGGGCCATCGTCGGATGCGACTGTTCTTCATCGCTTACGCCATCTTCCTTCACTTCCTCATCTTTGCCATGTTGTTCGAAGTCTCACACACTTCCTCCGCTGAGACTTGCTCAGTGCCGAAATAACCTTGGGTCAATCACAAATCAACATGCTCAGACGATTGCTTTCTGCACAAACAACCAATGTCATATAAGGCCCCCGCGTTTCTCA